ATATATATGGACTGCAAACATTTTGTTTTAGGATTTTTTTTTTTTAGTTTTGGACACACTTTTGACAGTTTTTATCTTTTAACTAAATGAAAATCAAACTTTGTCAGATGAACTAATAAAGAAAAATAAAAGATACAGAGCCAAAGATTATTTTACACAATGGCGTGTAATGCTGGTGTCCAACCCAAACAGGCCTCAGTGGAAATGATTGGAACCAAAATTATTTAAGCTATTATAAACAACTATTTTTAGAGCAGAATGTAAAATGGATGTTTTGGAATATTAAACTGTTAATATTCAGATCAGATTTATTTCAGTTTGTTAAAGTTTGTGCATATTAACTCCATTATGGTGTGTGTGCTTTCATTTATTTTTCTAGTTATGATAAATAAAAAGTGAACTAAAGTGTTTAAAAAAGAAGTCTTGTGTCCAATCTACCTAATGTTAACTAAAAACAAAAACTAAAGAAACTTTTTGTCCTGAATGGAGAAAAAAATCACAACAGAGGATGGTAAATTGACAGAAATACATTTCAGAACAGCTTCCCCACATGAAATAATTCTGTGGATGATTTGTCTGTTATTTCCTTCATGGAAGTCATCATGTTTCACTGCAGCTCTGCTGGTTCTGGATGTACACTTTGTATAAAACATTTTATTTGGCACGCTGCTGGATGATGCTGTTCATTAAAAAAAACACACTTTTCCCTCTTGTCCATCTGAGAACCCACACCTTGTGACGAACACTCACATCATATGATGCCACGTGATAAACGCTGAAACTGACCGACTGCATGTTTTAAATCGGATTTTTTTTTCTTGCCATCCGTCTCTATAAAAGCATTTCCAGTCATTTTTGTTTGGGTTTTTGTGTTTGTGTGCAAGTATACTTGCAGTGGATGAGATTGGAGGATAAAGCTGAGAGCTCTTTTTCTCTGTGTATTGTTGTGCGGCTCAGGAAAATAAATAAATATAAAAAAATCAGGGTATTTATAGCAGAGGAGATGATGTTGTCTAGAATCAACATGACCAAATCCTTCTATCAACTCCATAATGGACAAGCTACCTGGCTTAGGTCAAAACAACACCACCTACGATGAGCAAATGTGTGTAGGTGCTTATACAGTATGTGTGTGCGCGCTCCTGCCTGCAATTTATTTATAATCTGAGCGGGTGCATGCACACACACTCCCATATGTGTGTTTCTGGAAGTGTGTCCGTGTGTGTTCACCCAGGGAGCTTTAATCAAAGGCCTATACTGAGAAGATGTGGGAGCCCTGTCTCTCTCTCTTTTTCCACAGATAAAACTGAGTGTTAGCATGCCAGTCACATATCTCATCTGAGACGCGCCGCTCTCCTCCACACACCTCGCCCCGGCCCACACTGACAGCACACTATTACACACCAGTATGATGCTCGCTCCACCTGTGGAGGATGACAAGGAGGGAAGGAAAAAGGAACAAAGGGTGGACAGGAATATGGAATGATTTTTCCTCATTTAAAGCTCAGCTATTTGATTTATTAAAAAAATATATGTATTTGCAAAAACAGCAAATTTCAACTCTGGATTAAAAAAAAGTAATTGTGTATTTATTCTACTTTTGCTCGAATAATCTTTCTGAAATGCTTTTTAAAATGTCCATAATTTTAGGTTTCCAACTTTCATTGAAAATAAACTAAATAAATAAACTCAGACACTGAACTTTCATGTTCAGTTCACACGAATTCAGTGGTATTTAGTTGCATAAGCATGTATTTTTATTC